CCTGTCTGTCACGGTCTGTGATGGGTCTAAAGCCTGTCTGTCACGGTCTGTGATGGGTCTAAAGCCTGTCTGTCACGGTCTGTGATGGGTCCAAAGCCTGTCTGTCACGGTCTGTGATGGGTCCAGAGCCTGTCTGTCACGGTCTGTGATGGGTCACGTGAGTGTCTGTCACGGTCTGTGGGGGGAGGGGGGGGGGTCCAAATTTCTACCCCTAAACACTTCAACACTCCTTTCAGTTCGTGTTTCACAAAACAGGAACGAATGTAACTTGATGTACAAAATGGTAACTTGTAATATTACATAAGAATTCATGATTGTTATACAGATTAATTTTTTATCTATAAGCAATCATATTTTTATCATCATCTTCGTGTCTTCCAATTATTCAGACATCTGCTTATACACACAAACTTCATTCATTTAAAATAGATACGATCTATTACACTATAAACAAATTTATTAGAATCTTTTTACCTAACTGTTTCCGCACTACTCTAACTTCTGAATTTCTAAATAGTTTTTTTTAATTTCATTTACGAATTGATCAATTCTAAGTCAAATCATATTATGTTAGTTCTAGTTTATCATTAGGACAAGTTCCTTTAAATCTTTATAAAGCTATGTATTTGACTCATAAATTAAAATTATGTATTTCCCTCAGTTTAGATCTAAAATTTGATGAAATCGAGTCTATGATGAAAAATATCTGTTTTTTTTGATCAATCTTGTTTTGAATATTCCATTCTATTATTTAGTGCACCAATTTTATCTATGAAAAATCGATGTAAGACTTTATTAAGATGATGGTCCAAAAATAATATTCTACGTTGTACATCAGTGCAATTCACACTGAGGAAAACATGTGTTTTCTTTTAAGTTCATTTTTTCACATCTCATTTGTTTTTAATAGATTCGTCTTTTAATTCTTTACAAAAGTTGTTAAATGAACCATTTCAATATCATTTTTCCGTTACATGTTTTGGCATTCTAAGTTTTACATATTTTGATAAAGTAATAAAACTTGTAATTATATAATGATTATTCGTAGGAAAACAATGATTTTTCTACTTATTAAACATGTTTTCATCTGTCCCAGAGTATTTATATAAATGTAGAGAACTGAACAGGATATATACTTCGTCACAAATATCGAAAAAGTTTTTTTTACTTAAGGTCATTTTTTAACACGTATCAGTACTTTAAAACAAACTTATAGTTCTGTGATATGTGCAATTCAATAGTGAATTAAATCAGCAAGAAAAAAAAATACACAACCTCATTGATTTATTTTTCTGAATCAATGTTTCTTTGACAATTACAAAATAATCTTTGAAAACTTTCTAGAGAATAAACAAAAGAAAGATATTCATGTACATATGAAAATGACTCGCTTTTTTTTCAATGATATCCGAAATTTTATGCGATGTTAGAATTTGCTTAGTTAAGTCGATGTACCCTTTTCATCCATGTATAGAAATATTGCATTACGTGCATTCTACTTTTATGTTATGCTTATTAACTTAAGGAAATATTTAACTATCTAAGTTTTCAATGTTCTAATTGTTCGCAAAAGATATTTTGTTATGTTAGTGCTCTAACTCTTATTATTATGCATTTCTCATTGTAAACAAGAAAGCCTATCTGACTTTGTTGCAGAAAAGACCAAAATATTTCTATAATTCTGAGAATTGAAACAGAAATGCACTGAGATAGAATGTACTAGTAGTTCAGACAAATAAATATCACTGAGAAGCTAATAAAATCAAATGCATCCAAATTTAGATGAATTCTTCTAGAAAATTCTGTAGATATCGTATCATATATCTGAAGTTGGATATGCATAAAAAGAATATATATATATATATATATATATATATCTAGCATAGGTACTATCATAAAAATGTTATTTTTCTAGTTATTTCCTCGTGGATTCTAATGTTAAAGTAGTTTGCATTATGATGTTGCATATATGCCTATGTTTAGATAGTAAATAGCTTTTTTTCCTAGTAATATTGTACTCCCCACGGAAAAATTTTTGAACAAAAATCGCGAGAAACCGCGGTTTCACAAACTACGGTAATCAACGGTTTTCCGAAACCGCGAAAGTCAGACCTTTTATGCGGTTTTTGAAAACCGCCAAGAACCGCGGTAATTTCACACCGCGGTTTTCACCGGTATCCAAAGCCGCATAAAAGGTCTGACTTTCGCGGTTTCGAAAAACCATTGATTACCGCGGTCTGGAGAAACCGCATTAAAGGTCTGACTTTCGCGGTTTCATGGAACCGCTGGAGAACGCGGTTTCCATGACCATACCCGATTCAGGTATGATCAGACTCACCTGAACTTATGATAAAGTTCAGGTAAGCGACCCTTCAAGGGGTCTGTAGTGAACTTTAGAAGTTCCATTACCACAAAGTTACTTTGTAGTGAGAGATAGAATAAGAAAACTTATGCAAAATTTTCATGAAAATAGCGGGGCACTACATCCTCTTCGTCCTTACACATTCCATCGCGATGGTTTAAGCATCAAAAATACCGCGGTTTCTCTGCTGAAAAACGCGGTAATAAATAACGCGATTATTCGATGGCATACCGCGGTTTCTGAAACCACTAAATACTGCGGTATTTATTACCGCAATAACTAATGACTGTATCGCAATTTTTGAAACCGCTCAGTACCGCCCTACTTACCACCACGGTTACCGATGAAGATACCGCAGTTTAAAAAACCACTCAATACTGCGGTATTTATCATCTCGGTTACTGATGACTATACCGCGGTTTTGAAAGCCGTTGAATACCGTGCTATGAAATACCGCGGTTTCCAATTACCATACCGCGACTTTTTAGACCGTTGAATACCGCGGTATTTAGAACCGCGATCATGAATACGAGCAACGCGGTTTCAGAAAATCGCGGTTCAAAAAAACCGCTACCAACCGCGGTTATTCAATCCAAACCGCGGTTTCCTCTAGTAAAACCGCGGTCGAATGAAAAAAATCGCGGTTTTGAGCGGTTTTTCGAAAAAAAATTTTCCGTGGGTGGTCGGAATTAAAATAACACTTTCTGCTTTTTGAATCGAATAGACTGTGGGATATCAAATGCTAGGAACTATCGAATTTGAGGAGATTTTATTTTCTACTTATTTTTAGATGATATACAGATGAAGGTGATCAGTCTGATTGGCTACCTTGCTTCGTTTTTTTTGCACATAATCTTCAATCTTAGTTAGAAAAATGACATTCTTTGATTTATGTATGTCCTATCGAAGTTACTTCAAATGAAGTCAATACTACACACAGGCCCGTAGCCAGGAATTTTCTGAGGGGGGCTAACTTTTTGAGGGAGGGCTGAACATGGCCAAAAAAATTTTCCGCTGGGCGGAAATAATGTGCCCGTACCCCCTCCAGGGAATTTTTTCCCCGGGGGGGGCATAAACCCCCCCCCCCACCCCCCCCCCCCCTTCCCTACGGCCCTGACTACACAAATATCAATTAATTACTGATCTAAGATCAATATATAAAATTATAGCGAATTTCTTTTATTTTTGAAAATATTGAAAAAGAATTTTTTTTCGAAAAAACGTAGACCGAATTTTTGAGAAAAATCAAACATCACTACATGTTTAGTATTGTATATGATTATTAGTCTGTTTTGAATAGACACTAAGAACAGACGACAAGATTATGGCAAAAAGAAATCACAGCGTAGTCAACATATGTAATATTTTATAAAAGATAAATACAAGTATTTGAAATATAAACAAAAAATCTCAACTTATTGCTTTATCTATTACTTTTCTTATGATGTTCGTCTGATATGTTCTTCTTTGAGATAAGTTTCATTGATAGTACTTACATTAGAGTCGTATATAGATTATATTCAAAATTTGTATTCTAAAAATCCAGTCAAGTCTTTGCTCGACTCAAAGTTTTGTTTCAACCAAAATGGAATATTCCATAGATATCTTTTATTAGTTACAGACCTTAATGTCGTTAGAAGAGATTAATACTTATATAAAATATGTACAAAGTTTATTCATAAGAGTGATATAAATATATTCGAAAATAAAAAATTCACGATAATTTTATACATAGAAATAACTTCGATGAAACATACATTTCTTGGTGAAAAACAGAGCTATGAAATGTCTTCTCGAAATTTTTAGGTCCAACACATACTCCTCTGAAAAAAAACTTCCTGTAACTTAAATTAACAATGGAAGATAAGATTCGGATAGTAAATCTTTACAGTATTTTAGAAATGGATAAATTAGAAAAAAGTATGCTTATTTTAATTTTGCATAAAACGTCGAGTAGAACGATGTCAACTGATTGATATTATGGTACAAAGGAAAAAAAAATTATATAAAC